CATTCCCACCTCAGGGCCTTTGCACATGCTATGCCTTCTGCCTGGAATGCTCAGGTCTTCGAACAATATACTCCTCATCCTCAAGTCTCAACAACCAGGGCACCTCCTAAAATAGGTCTGCCCTAACTACCCAACTTCATGTGGACACCCTACCCCCTTGCTTCCCTACTGATCCCACTGGTTTGCTTTTCTCAATAACATGTAGCATTTAATACTATCTGACATCATCTTGCTCTTTTATGGGTTTATGGATTGTCTTGTCCATCTCTCCCTCCCAGCTCTTTGAGGCCATAGAAACAGTCTTTCTTATCCATGTTGCATCCCCAGCAAATAGCAAAGCACCTGATAATTACAAATACCAGTTAAATGTGAAGAATTAAAACTTTATCCAAGAGTTTGTGGAGCCATTACAGGATTTACAGCAGGGCTATGGGTTGGTTGGTCTTCCTTCTCTCCTGGGACCTATCAGGCTGGTTGTGAGGATCAAAAGCAATGGGATATTCTTTATGGAAAGCAAAAATTTTATAGTTTTATTAAGGCTTATTTTACATATCATCTAATTAACCATTCCTGGTGTGCAGCTCCCTGACTTTTTAGTAAATTTTCTAAGTTGTGCAACCATCACCCTAAATCAATTTTAGAACACTTTTATCACCCCAGTGACATCATTACAACTGTTAATCCATATTCCTACCCTGCAGCCACTAATCTGCTTTTTATCTCTATAGATTTGCCTTATCTGGACACTTTACTTAAATGGAATCCTATAGTATGTGGTCCTTCATGTCTGGCTTCTTTCACTCAGCATCATGTTTTCGAGGTTCACCCACATTGTAGCCTGTGCCAGTCCTCCATCCCTTTTTATGGATAAGTAATATTTCATTCTAAGGATATACCACAGTTGATCACATCATCAGTTGATAGACATTTGGGTCGCTTCCACTTTTTTATTTAGGGATAATGCTGCTATACACTTGCTTGTGCATGAAGAGCAGTTTCCAAATAAAAGTACACGTATCACAACGAGCCCTGAATAATGTACAGAATTGTTGAATTACTGTACTGTATGTTGAAACTAATATAATACTGTAGGTTAACTATCCTGGATTTAAAATTTAAAATTATTAAATCATTTATGACACTTGTTTAAAACAAAACAAAAAGGCAATTTCTAAGCCCTGATCATCTCCCAGCTTGCTAGAGCTTCTAATGTCCCTATATGGGTTTGACCCCAATGGGCTGCGTACCCATGAATGAGTCCCTTCCCTTCTCTGCTTGAGTCTCCCCATCTTTCCACACAGGAGCCTGTGCCCTTTTATGCACAGATATTCTGTGCCTTGTTCACATTCCTGGAAGAGCAGGGGAGTATGCGGAGGAAATGATAAACAGTTTGTATTTATAGCTGCTGGAGCCAAAGGTGGGCATCCCCGTGATCAACCACCAGAGCTGACAATTAGGAGGAGGGCCTAGCTCCAGGACCCCTGGATCCCACCCTGGGAACTCCCACCTGCTTTTCTCTTCCCCCAGAGGACCAAAGCCTCTGCCCCCATTTAGTGCAGACAGGTGGGTTCCAGGATCCAGAATCTCCTCACAGGGAGGGAATTTGAGGACTGCCTCCAAGTCCCTTGTCCTGATGTTTGCCTTTGCTCCCTGGGTTCCTGGAGTCCTGCCCAAACTTGATTGGGCTCAGATCCCAGGAAAACAAAGCTGGAAATGCAGAGGCCCAGACAGGGGTTTGACAAGGGCTGGGAGGACTCTGGGTGCTGGCTGGTCCCCCCACCCCTAGGTTCCTTCCCAGAGACCAGGTCAAAACTGTTTGTTTGGGTTTCAGGCTGTTTGTGGGATGTCTGCTGCCTTAGCAGGCACTGGGGCCCACAAACCTCAGCAACCAGTCCAGGGGCAGGGAGTGGGCATGATGATAAATCACCTGGATAATAATTTAACAACATAACACATATTAAATAGCTGTTATGTGGTAAGTGCTCAGTTACTTTCATCTCCTTTCTAGAGATAAAAATGGAGAAATGGAGGCTCAGAGAGGGGAAACGATTTGTCCAAAGCCGACAGCCAGGGATAATTGTGTCAGGACTCAAACCCATATCCAAAACCAGCTCATACATTAAATGTAAGGCTACAGAGTGATGACAGCAGTAAAAGCTGATCTAAGGGCCTTATGAATTCATTGAACTCTCGTTGCAGCCTCCAACCTCCCCCCCCCACTAGCCCAAATCTTACAGATAAGGAAACTGAGGCACAGAGGGTTTAACTCCCACTTGGAAGTTCCCCAGCCAGGAGGTATGGCCCTGACTCTAAAGGCTTCAGTGGGTCTAAGAAAGGAAACTTTTCTGGGCAGGGGTGGGGGGGAGGGAAGACCCTCACACAGCAGGCAGGGAAAGAGGCCCCAGGTGCTCTGACCCTCCCAACACAACCCTGAGCAGCAGATGGCCCTCCCACAGAAGCCAGTGAGGCCTCTGCCCCCTTTTCTTCTTTCCTAGGTGTCCTGGGGCTGAGAGGAGGGGAGGGGAGGGCACATTCTCAGGTACACAGGTGGTGTCTGCCCTTAGAATAACAGGCCCTAAGGACTGTACATAATATGTGCATAATATGCCGGGTGCATAATTCATGCATCTGTCAGCAGAACACCAATTATGTTGGCCTTCCCTGGAGTTGTCTAGGGGTTAGAAACTGGAGCAGGCTTCCCTTGCTAGCCTGGGGGGGAGGGGGAGCAAGAATGGGACCTCCCAGCTCTTAAAGGAACAGGCTTCCCAGGAATCTGCTCCTTCTCCTGCAGGCTTCTTCCTTTGGAGGGGGGTAAGGGTTGGTCTGTACCCACCTAGAGCAGTAACCTGCAGGGCTCACCCAAGGCCCTGGCTGGCTGCCCCAGAAAACCAGACCCACTCTGTGTCTAGCCCTGTGCTAATAATTCTACATGCATAATCACTTTGTCCCCTTCTCAATAATTTAAGAGGGACTGGCTACTGGTATACTCTAGGGTTTCTCTGCCTTGATACTATTGACATTTTGAGCCAGATAATTCCTCATTGCAGTCCTGTGCACAGCGGGGTGTTCAGCAGCATCGCTGGCCTCTACCCGATGGCTGCCAGGAGCACTCCACCCCCAAGTCATGACAACCAAAAATTCCTGTGGCATTTGTCAGATTTTGAGGGGACAAAATCACTCCTCAGTTATGAATGACTGGAATATCCCCATTTCACAATATTCATAGGAAACTGAGGCAAGGAATGTTTCAATGCCAAGGCCACCCAGCCAGGAAATGACAGGGTAGCAGAGCTGGATTCTACCTTTAGAGCCCACACTCCTAACTCCGAGAAGGAGTTCCCAAAGTATGCTGCCGGAATGTTTTATTCCAATAAGCAGCTATTTATTTTAATGAATATTTAACGCATCTTTCCCTAGCACGCAAAATCAGCATCTTTGCAAATGTCATTTCTTAGGACAAGGCTAAAATAGAGACAAGGTGAGCAGTGTGTTGTGGTGGCATTTGGCTTCTGAGTAGAAGAGTAGTACAAGCGGCAAAACAACAACATACAATAATAGGCTGTCAGTCCTGAGCCAGACAAAATAGTGATTTGTTAGGGACATATTAGCCCTGTATTTAAAACTCTCCAGGAAAGGGCAGCCCGGGTGGCTCATCGGTTTAGCATTGCCTTCGGCCCAGGGCGTGATCCTGGAGACCTGGGATCGAGTCACCACACATCGGGCTCCCTGCATGGAGTCTGCTTCTCCCTCTGCCTGTGTCTCTGCCTCTCTCTCTCTCTCTCTCTTTCTCTCTCTCTCTCTGTGTGTGTGTGTGTGTGTGTCTCATGAATAAATTAAAAAAAAAAAAAAACTCTCCAGAAAAGAAAAGGGATGAGAAGAAATTGTGGTTACCCCCAGGGTGGCAAAGGACCCACAGACAACGTCAGCATTATTGTCACATACCGTTTCTTCACCCAGGTCATGGGTCCACAGGCATTCACTTGATTATGGTTTATAAATATATATAAATTTGATATACTTTTGTATGTATTGGATATTTCTTTTTGTAAAGTGATTACTGAGCACTGGGTATAAGATCGATGAATCACTGACCTCTACCTCAGGGAGGGTCCACATGGGCCGGGTTTTAAAAGATAGATTGGAGGTCACTGAACAGAGAAGAAGAGACACAGCCATGTAGGATTGACCAACAAACCATGTAGCCAGAGAAGCATGATATTTGGGAACCTGAGGCAGGAGAGGCCCAAAGAGAGGGATCAAAGTAAAATTGTAGGCTTGACAACCCCGTGTGGTGAGTGGGGATTCATTGCAGAGAACAGAGCCTCTCGTGTCCACCCGAGCAGCAAGGGTATTGTCCCATGGGACATAGCAGGCCATTTCGGGACAGGGCAAGAAGCAAAGAAGAGCTGGACCACTTGGAGGCTGGGTGGACTAGGCTGATGGGGTGCTGTAGACTGAGAGACCACCCCCTACAAGGATGGACGGCATATATCAGACACTCTCTGTGTGCTGCTAGAAGCTGTCCTAAACACTTTGCCCATGTTAACACATTTACTCCTTGCAGCAGCCCTCTGAGGTAGACACTGTTATTTACCATCCCATTTTGCAGATGAAGATAAAATGAGGCTTAGAGTGAACAACTGGTTCAAGGTAAGCAAGCAGCAGAGCTGGGATTCAAACCCAGAACAACCTGACACCACACCCCAAGCTCTAAATTGCCACCCCTACACCGTCTTTCAGATCTCCTGTGTCCTTACTGCCAACCCCTGGCCTGGAAGTATTAGCCTTAAATCATTGCAGTGTCTGGGCTTCAGTTTGTACATCTGTACAGTAAATGGATTTGAATAAATGACCTTTTTAGCTCAAACATCCAGGCATCAAGTGACTAGTGAGATGTGAAAATACTCTTGAATGTTAAGGAGCATCCTGTAGACTCAGGGTGTTAGGATGACCATCCTATTGGAGGTTGGTAACTAAATCCCACTCTCTTCTCCTTGCAGATCCTTGCCATAATTTCCATCATGTTCATCGTCCTCTCCACCATTGCCCTGTCACTCAACACGCTGCCAGAGCTGCAGAGCCTTGACGAGTTCGGCCAGACCACAGACAACCCCCAGCTGGCCCATGTGGAGGCCGTGTGCATTGCATGGTTCACCATGGAATATCTGCTGCGATTCCTCTCCTCACCCAAGAAGTGGAAGTTCTTTAAGGGCCCACTCAATGCCATTGACTTGTTGGCCATCTTGCCATACTATGTCACCATCTTCCTCACCGAATCCAACAAGAGCGTGCTGCAGTTCCAGAACGTCCGCCGCGTGGTCCAGATCTTCCGCATCATGCGTATCCTCCGCATCCTTAAGCTCGCGCGCCACTCCACTGGCCTCCAGTCCTTGGGCTTCACCCTGCGGAGGAGCTACAATGAGTTGGGCTTGCTCATCCTCTTCCTCGCCATGGGCATCATGATTTTCTCCAGCCTTGTTTTCTTTGCTGAGAAGGATGAGGATGACACCAAGTTCAAAAGCATCCCAGCCTCTTTCTGGTGGGCCACCATCACCATGACAACGGTTGGGTATGGAGACATCTACCCCAAGACTCTCCTGGGGAAGATTGTCGGGGGGCTCTGCTGCATTGCAGGGGTCCTGGTGATTGCTCTTCCCATCCCCATCATTGTCAATAACTTCTCTGAGTTCTACAAGGAGCAGAAGAGGCAGGAGAAAGCAATCAAGCGGAGAGAGGCTCTGGAGAGAGCCAAGAGGAATGGCAGCATTGTATCCATGAACATGAAAGATGCTTTTGCCCGGAGCATCGAAATGATGGACATTGTGGTTGAGAAAAATGGAGAAAATATGGGTAAGAAGGACAAAGTGCAAGATAATCACTTGTCTCCCAACAAATGGAAATGGACAAAGAGGACACTATCTGAAACTAGCTCAAGTAAGTCCTTTGAAACCAAGGAGCAGGGGTCCCCTGAGAAGGCCAGATCCTCTTCTAGTCCTCAGCACCTGAACGTCCAGCAGTTGGAAGACATGTACAATAAGATGGCCAAGACCCAATCTCAACCCATCCTCAATACCAAGGAGTCAACAACACAGAGCAAACCAAAGGAAGAACTTGAAATGGAGAGCATCCCCAGCCCTGTAGCCCCTCTGCCCACACGTACAGAAGGGGTCATCGATATGCGAAGCATGTCGAGCATTGATAGTTTCATTAGTTGTGCCACAGACTTCCCTGAAGCCACCAGATTCTCCCACAGCCCTTTGGCATCACTTCCCAGCAAGACTGGGGGCAGCATAGCCCCAGAAATGGGCTGGCGGGGAGCTCTGGGTGCCAGTGGTGGTAGATTTGTGGAGGCCAACCCCACCCCTGATGCCAGCCATCGCTCTACCTTCTTCATTGAGAGCCCCAAGAGTTCTCTGAAGACAAACAACCCCCTGAAGCTCCGAGCACTTAAAGTCAACTTCATGGAGGGTGATCCCAGTCCACTAGTCCCCGTTCTGGGGATGTACCATGACCCTCTTAGGAACCGGGGGGGCGCTGCAGCTGCTGTCGCTGGACTGGAGTGTGCCACACTCTTGGACAGACCTGTACTGAGTCCAGAGTCCTCCATCTACACCACAGCAAGTGCTAGGACGCCCCCCCGATCACCTGAGAAACACACAGCAATAGCATTCAACTTCGAAGCAGGTGTCCACCAGTACATTGATGCGGACACAGATGATGAGGGGCAGGTGCTCTACAGTGTAGATTCCAGCCCTCCCAAGGGCGTCCATGTGAGCACCAGTCCCAAGTTCAGCGTGGGGACAAGATCAGAGAAGAACCACTTTGAAAGCTCCCCCTTACCCACCTCCCCTAAGTTCTTGAGGCAGAACTGTATTTACTCTACAGAAGCATTGACTGGAAAAGGCCCCAGTGGTCAGGAAAAGTGCAAACTCGAGAACCACATCTCCCCTGACGTCCGCGTGTTGCCGGGAGGAGGAGCCCATGGAAGCACACGGGATCAGAGCATCTGAGCTTACCCCAGCTGCAACAGAGACTTGTCGCAAGACCTGAGAGGCGTGCTGTTCAGCTTACCTGCCACAGAGCTTTTCCACACGAACTCAGAAAGGCTCTGCAAAGCCCCCCAGACAGAAGTGAAACTCCAGAGGAGGCTCTCCAAGGGCCTTGAGAGCCATGACAAGTACGACAGAATGAAGTTGGCCAAGCCACAGGATATGGTGTCTCCTTGTAACAAGTCCACTGCCCTCTTTGGAAGATAACATGGGCAGAACTCACAGCCACCACTACCACATGCTGGACCTAACCAAGGCCACACACTCTCCACTTGTCTGTCATGGCTCTCCATCACAGCCTCGGGGTTGGAGGTGGGGGCAGCATCACCATCCCTCCTGGCTTCAGCTGGAGAAGGATTCTGGAACAATAAGTGGCTGGGTTGACCAATTTCGTTTTGGGTGTTACCTGGCCACCTCTAGGAACTCCTGTCCATCACCTCCTGGATGGATCCCACTGTTAGAAGGCTACAGAAGATACTCATGTCATGGGGAAATTTCTGCGCCATAAGCCACAATCCCAGCGCAAAACCCTTACTCAAATGTCTTCATTGACTTCAGTGTTCCGTAGTACCTGAGATTTTATTTTGAAATATCATCAGGGTGAGTTGCACCACTTGTACTTGATTCTAATCGCCCCCTGGCAATCTGGGAAGGGTTCAGACGGCAGGCACTCAGCCAACAGTAGGAACTGTGAGCATTGCTTTAGGGTTGTATAAGGAAAACACTTTCTGTACATCACTAGTGTAGACTCAAAAGATATGCAAGTGTCAAATATGCAAAAGAAATAGCTTATTCAAAGAGACTGTATGTTACCGAAGAACAGAATAAAATCTGATTTTTTTTTACCTGCAAAAAATGAAAGGAAAAAAAAGAATCCCCAATTGAAATGCCCAATTCAGACTTTTGAATACTTCCTGCTGCAGCAGGGAAAGCATCTACTATAATAGAAATTCTTTTTTGTTTCCTGTGGTATTCAAGTTTTAAAAAAAAAAAGTTAAAATAAAAAGCACTTTATGTTTTTCAAAAATAGGTTCTACCAGGGACAGTGTCAACATCTTGCACTTTAAAATAAGCACTATTTCCCGTGGGCCACTTTTTGGGACTGTAGTTGGGTGGTTGCTCCATGCCTGTGTCCGGCCACGGTGGGGGATTTTGTGCTGGTATTGCCGTCTGCCATGTCAAAGTCTGTGGGCTCCTTCCCTGCCCCTCTGAAGCTTCCCATTAGCCCCCTTTGCGAGGAAGGGTACTTGAGCCCTTGTGTGGGGCCTCTCACAGAGTCGCGTGTACCGGAAACATGCACATCTCAGAAGAGTACAGTAGACGGTGGGCATTGGGTGTTTACTCTGTTCTCTTTCTTGTCAACCAGCTGTTGGTGTGTTTTCAGTGTCACTGTCTGTACGGAAACTCAGCCCTCCTTTCTGCAGCCATCAATGCAGCCAGTACAGACAAAAGCAATAAGTATTTGTGTGCATTGTGAATGGTTCTGGTGTATTTCTTGGTGTTGGTCTTCCTGTCCTAGTTTGATGACCTGGCATTGGCCTGCCTGAGTCGGGTCCAGGATGGAAGTGTTGGCCATTCCTCAGTTCAGAAACATTGGGTTGAGCCACTGATCAGCATGATGCCATGTTGTTGGCCCATCTGTCAGTAAAGATGACCTGTCGTTGATCTGCCTGTCTTTAGTACAATGGACCGATGTCGTTCTCTTAATACAACATTGATGGATGATGTCCCAAGTCCAGTAGCGTAGATCTGCCAATCCACAATCCAGTGACAGACATGCGTCTACCTGATGGAACAAACATGGAGTGGTTTGCCTGTCCTTCATACAATATGTTACTGGTCTGCCTGTTAGTATGATGGCACGATCCATCTGTCAGTACACAGATACCATGGAGTCCTTCTGCGTGCCCTCTGTACAGTGGCATGAGGTTGGACCACCTGTCACAGGTATGATGAAATGGAGTCATTCCACCTCCCTTAAAAACACAGTGTTCTCTACTGAATACGTACCTGGTCCATACTGCTTCTCACCGTCTCCAAGGACTGCGGATCCCTCCGAGTGTGTGTGTTACCGCACAAAATGAGGCCGAAGTATCTTGACGCTCCGAGGTTTCTTCAGAGCACCCCAGCAGCACCCGCAAAGGGGCAGGGAAAGTGGGAGGTCATCCCGTGCTGGGGACATGCCAGAGAGAGGAAGCAGCAGCGGGCCCGAGTGCTTTGCAGGGCACACGGTGCGGGCTGGGGGCCTCCAGAGGAGCGGCCGCCGGACAGTCCTCCCCAGGCCATGTCAGCTCACCTGTCTCTTCCTTGTTTTTATCACCATTTCCGTCGGCCGTCAGCACAAACGTGAAAATTCAGGGAAAACAAACAAATGCTTTTTGATAAAAGTAAATAGTTGTGATTTCCGATTCAGATATTTTTAGAGCTGATGCTATCTGTAAAAAATTAATAACAATAATAATAGAGTCTATTTTACATATCAGGAAAGTGAACATGTTTAAATATAGCCATATATATAGCGAGAAGGAACTTACCACCCCTTCTTCAAATCAAGGCATTTCATTTGTTGGTTGAAGCAGATGAGAAGTGTACAGATTGGATATGGTTTTTCTTTCTTTCTTTCTTTCTTTCTTTCTTTCTTTCTTTCTTTCTTTCTTTTTTTTTTTTTTAACTAATAACCAATTGGTGCAACTCTCCTTGTAACCAAAGGCCCTTTCTGCCTTGTGTGGTCACACAGGACCTGGCCCTCCGTTCCCCGTGTAGTTTGTCTGACCTTAAAGTAGCATTTTATTGAGTCACTTTTGAAGGACGAATTCAGAAGTATCATTAAGAACCTACCTTTTCAGGCTTACTAGCCAGAGTCCTATAGAGTTCTTATAGAAACAGAATAATTGAAACTCAGCATATACTATGCTTAGAAAGTATTGCATTTTGTTTTGGTTTTTTTCTTTTACTTGGTGTATGTATTGTGGGAATATAGCTTTTATCCTGTGCCCAACTCAAAATAGAGTATTGTAAGTTTTCCCAGGCCCCACCTGCCAAAAAAGGAACGTACCCTGATTTTTAAAATGTTGTACACCTTACCTGTACCTGTGTACATGCACTGGGAAATCTACGTAAGAGTCTCCACGGAGAAGCTGACCAAGACAGACAGGTCCTCATGGAGGAGAGGAAAGAGCATGGTCTGCAGGCAAAAAAGCACTTTAACTCAGTGATCCATGTCCTACCCATTCCTGAACCAACAAAAATGGGAAAAAACAAAAAACAAAAATAAAAACAAGTCAACCCAAAGAAACCAAACTAGGGGCTGGAGCTGGTGAATGCCTGGTCCCTTTGGCGAATTCGGTGAAACCCTGGTCAAGAACCCAGCGGACCTTGGCTTCCAACTTCCACCATTAGCAGTAAGGGCTAGGGACCAGGTCTCTGTGTGTCCCCGATCACACGGGGGAGCCTGCGACCCACGGAGAGAGAGGTGGGCGAGCTCTGGAGGAGTCGGCTTGTTTTCACTTTTTTATCTTTGGGTAAAGACAAACAACAGGACTTTGGTGCAGTAGATTTCTCAGTGCCTTCTCTAGGAATTTTATCTTAAGCACACTTCATGGGGAAAGAAGAAAAGAGGATAGAACACATTGTCTCCGTGAAGTCCCTTTCTCTAAAAGCACTGGGGATCAAGAAGGAAGAAGACAGAAGAGGGGGGAACAGCAAAATCCTGAGGAGGCCATTCCTTTCACCTCACCCGGCTTGCCCCCGAGTAGCGCTGGTGACGACAAACTTTGCCAAACTGACTCCCAGCTCTCCTCCACCGCGTCTTGGTGACTGTAGCTTCACCCCTGCCCTTTCTCCTGATAAGACCCACTTTTCTGAGGAGAAAACACCACCACCAACAGTATTCTCTTCTGTACAACTGTGATGTATTGATGTTTGTAACATATCTGTCTTGTTCCAAGTCACGGCTGGAGTGTCTCGTCCACGGACAAGGGTTTGAAATTTAAACTTCACCATGGACAAGGGTCACTAGAGCCAGGTCTCCCTCTTTCTCCCCCTTCCTCTCTTCCCTCCCCTCCATGCCCCCCTTTCCTTATTTCTCTGCCAGCTAGTCTCAAGTAACACAACCCCAGGCTTCAGCCTCCATTTAGGTAACTTTGAATCCAATGAGATTGAAGTGACATGCCTCCAGGGCATGATCCTTTGGGAAAGGGCTTTTCCAGTGACGAGAGGAAGAAGGGGTCACCTCTGGGTCCCCTGCAGCCCTGAGCTCCGTTTCCTGTTTCTGGTTTCTCCCGGCTTATATGACAGCATGCAAATGCTTTCCCTCAGCCTGGGGGACCCAAACCAGCCTGTCTCCGCCCCAAAAATAACAGTTACCTCTGCATTTTCTGTTGCCATGTTTCTGGCTCTAGAAGTATCTGATGCAGGGCTGTATTGTAGGATATCCATGTATCTCAGAGTAGTCTATTTTTTATCTGTTGGGATAAAAAGTATGTAGGCATATGTGTGTTTTTAGCAAATTTGTAATAGGGATATTAAGTCTCGTGGCTTCTTTTGTAATATAGAATAACATTTTAGGAGTTTTATGGTTGGTCATTCTCATAGCTGATATTTTCTGGTCTTTCTCATTTCCTCCCATCACCCCTTGGGCTTTCTTCCTTTTGATTCTGACTTTCTGAGGGTGGGGAAGACTTTGGATTCTGACTTCCTCATGCAGGCATTTCCTGACACTTGGCCTCGAATCTGTGGACACTGTTACTATCCTCATTCTGTCTGTGTGTTTCTCCTATTTATTGTTCTTAAGAATCCAGGGCACAGATGCAGGAGTGAGACCAGGGGAAGCAGGGCTACGGATTGCCCTCAAAATCAGGTTGGAATGTGGGCTGGTTCAGCTCCTTCTCCCCCACCCTGCTGGCATTTTGAAGAGACTGAATTTTCTCATCCCCAGAGATCTTGGGACTGAAAATCTCACGCAAGCAAACTTCCCCCTGAGGTCCAGAACACACCCAAGCCCCTCTTGGCTGGCCTGTTGCCATCTCCAGTCCCCCACTCCCCTGTAACATCAATTGGATCCGAAGGCCAGAGCATTTTCAGGTTCTTACAAACCTCAGAGAACATGCTGGGCCTCAGATCTCATCAACTTCTTATCAGTTCCTCATTTTAATCCATTTCCAACATCCTCACAAAAAAAAAAAAAAGCAAATAAAAAAATAATAGACAAGCTTGCAGCCAAACCCTGAGAAGACATGTCCCCCAGAATCTGCCGTCTCATCTCCCCTTCCCTCCCAGCTGCCTGCCTCCATAGCACCAGAGACTCGTGGCAAGGGCAGTGGTGTCTTTCCAGCTTCCACCTATCCAGGCCCTGAGGAGTTTCTGTACTGTCTTAATTCCACCAGGCAGCTTCCAGCCTCAGGTGGGCAGAGGACATCTCATGAAGCAGGATCTTCAGCAGAAAGCAATTCTCCACTCTTCAACTCATGCAGGAAGATGAAGAAAGGCCAGATGATCTCCAACTTGCATTTATTTAGGTGTTCATACCCCCATCTGCCTCACTATCAGCTTCAGGACTCTGGCCTCTGCCCAGATCAGAGTTCTGAGCTGAATCCAGGCCCCCATGGCAATGAACCATCCCCTTGGATAAACTCCAAGAGGAAACGAATCCAAGGACAAATGTAGAGTTTTCCCACCTCCAAAATTCCTGGTAATCTGGTTTGAACCAGAGCCCAATAAAATAGACTAGATTTTTTTAAAACTTTTGCACAGGAAGAAAATAAAATTGTCTCTCAGTAGTTCACTAGGTTTGATGCCCAGATAAGCAAATACTCTATCCTGTGGCTGTTTTCATCTAGAGAGAGATTGGGAAGTTTGGGTTTCTATCTACTGCCCCTAGTTTTCTTAACCTGGAATTTCTCCTGAACATCCCCAAATACCAACCTGAAGAAGTGGATTCGGAAGAGGCTCTGGTGAATCCAGTGGTCCCTCATCTTTTTTCCCTCACAATTGTGACTGTTCATCCCTCTCTGCAAAGATCCTGAAAAGATCCAAAGGCTGGCCAGGATAAGGGGGTGGGGTGGGGAGGGGGGTAGTTCTCCCGAAGAAGAAACCATCTGCCTGGAGGAGGGCTGCGAGTGAGCGAGTATCCGAAAGCCACTGTTGTGTGAGAGAACGAAGTGGTCAGCTTCAGCTGGGATTAAGAAGGTGCTTCTCATGGGCAGGGCTGCCTCACCATGGAAGTCGGTGCTGTGTTGGGGCATGAGCTGCTAAAAAGGAGCTAGATGATGCACAAAATGGATGTTGCAGAGGGCCCTCACATTGCATGTCAACTGGACTGAACAACCAGGGAAATCCATCCCCCTCCCCCAGGGAGGTCTGTATGTGATGTGGACATCTGGGTGCAGGCTCAAGGCATCAGGCAAAAGGAGGGAGTACAGTTAACAGAAACTCAAATTCTAGGATCTGGAGTTCTCTGCAAAGGTGCGGGGGAAGGAAGTGGCAGCAGGATACCCTGCTTCCCTGCTCCTTTCTATCTTGGGCAATTTTAATGACCCTGCCAGTCATTCATCTAACCCATCCCTAGTGCCCTAACAGGAACCACACTGGGTAGGATGAGGCTTAATGCTACCTTCCCAGACCAGCCAAGAAATCGTCCCATCTCTGGCTGGTCATCTCATGGTGCTTCAGCTCTTCTGCCCAGACCCTGTGCCCTCATAGGCCTGAGGCTTTTTGTACAAGAGATGCAATTATCTTTTATCCACTAGCCAGCCGTCTAACTGCCCAGGCAATAGCAAATGGCACCACTCCAAAAGGGCTTTTTTTTTTTTTCTGGCAAATAAAACAGAAAATCCCATTCAAGACATTTGAAATTCCCCACCCAATGAAGCAAGTCCAGAAAGACCAAAAGAGAGAGGCAGCTGTAATCCAATTTTGCAGCAAAACAAGGCTTCAGCTGCCAGTCTCCCACATCTGTAGCCCCTTCCCAAGTGAATCTGGATACTGCATTCTCCAAGGAGAGTATTTGATACAAGAGGTGGTTTGGAGGAGGTGAGGCTTCCCTCCCCCTAATTGTGTATTGTGGGCTTGGAGGAGGTGAGGCTTTGTCCTCAGGGTGACCCCAAGTCCAGGCTGTTGTAGGTGGTTTTATCATGAAGTGAGGCAAGACAATAGGGTGGCATGAATCGACTGAGCAGATACTCTCTCCCAAAACAAAATGAAACAAAAACCCAGTTCCCAAGATCCCCCTTTGAGGCTCTGTCCTGCAGAAATGTGTCACATTGGTGGCTACAATGGCATGACAACTCTGGAAAACAAAGGAGACTCCCAATTCTGTCTCAAGATGCTCTCAAGGGTCCTACACAGACCATCCCACACTTCTTGCCTCCCTGAGCTAATCCAGGTTTGGAAAACAGAAGGAAGCACATGAGAAGATGCCTAAGAGATTCAGACTTCTCCACGGCTTTGGCTTATGGCCCCCTGATCTTCACTAGGGTTTTGGGCTCTCTCCAATAGGCCTGACATCGAAGCTCCATGTGCCTAATGGACAGGAAAGAAGAAGGTCAGCAGCTGCTGGGCTGGGGGCAGCTGACCTGTTTGCTCTCCAGACCTACCCTGGCTTCAGTCCCAGGCCAAGGGCTGGCAATGTTATTTTCTGTGCCAGGAACTCAGGGTTGTCCCCCAGTGTAGGCCTGCGGCACACAGTGGGCACCCAACCAGTACTCTTTTGAGTGAGTGAATGTGTAAACGATTGACTTCTGAGTGAGTAAATACAGGAATTCATTGGTTCTTGCCTGGCTTGACGATATTGCTAACTGGGAAAGAAGGAGATGCCCACCCCCCTGTAACCCCCACCAATTAAAGCCTGTAAGCCCCACCAATGCCATTTGCCCCTTGACTCAGTTGGGGGCAAGTGAATGTCCAAATTTGACATTCGTCTGCCCTAAGGGCCACAGTCTTCTCAGAGCTACGCTTCCAGGGGCCCCACAGGGCAGCCGCAGGCTCCTTCCTACTTTCCTATCCTGCATTCTCAGCCTCATGTTCTAGTTTAGCTCACAAAGAAGGGATTTGCTGGGGGCAGGAATTTGGGAGCTGACATCTGGAAACTGGATTGCATTCCCTGAGCCATGGAAGTCCAGCTGGAAAAGAGGGCCAACCCGCCCTCCGACTTTGAGAGCCAATGGGTTTTCCCCTATTTTCCGAGCCCCAGTGCCCCCCTAAGGTCGTGTGTGCCCCAGTTCCATTAGCTAAGACCCTCTGTCTCTCCCAGGAACCATGGTGTGATGTTGAGGCTTTCCTGCCAGCAAAGCCATTCTGATCACCCCACCCATGATGGGGGCCAAGCCTATCACATTAGCCATAAAAGACCAATGTCCTTAGCCATTCTTTTCTCGGGGTCACATTTGTGGGTCCTGTTCATCTCTGGTCAGTTGATGTCTCTAGTCCTTCCTGTAAAGGTGAAAATGAGCATTGTGTGTGTGTATGTGCATGTGCGTGCACATACACAAACACACACATAAACCAAACAACAACAAAAAAAAAAAAACGGTGTCTTTTTATGCATGTGATGAGATGAAATTGTGACCTCCAGCTGCTGTCCTGTCTTGTAAAATATGTCCAAACGTTTAAGAATTTCTAAGCAAATGGTCCTTTAATGAAGTATGCACAGTTCAATAAAAAGGTATGGAGAAAACAAGCTTGGAGTTTGTATTATTTTCTGGAGGGGTCAGGGAGATGGGGATGTGAAGATCTGCGGGGAAGACTAAATCCCTGGGGACCTATAGGGGCAGCACTGGCTACATTTCTCCACCTGAAAGAGAGAGGGTATGAAAATGTAACTGGCTTGTCACCCCAATATGCAAGCAATGGTAACACACCCCATGCTGCATTCACGGACCAAAGTCCAAATTCTGGTTATTTGGCTCTCGTGTCAACTGTGTCTGGACATTCTTGGCCCCACCACCTCTCTCTCATCAAAACATCTCACGGTGCCTATGGGAGTCACACACATGACTTTGACGATCCATCACCCTTCTCTGCTTTACTGTTCTCCGTAACATCACCCCAACACACTATATTTTATTTATATATTTTGTTTAATGTTTACTTCCCTTCAAACAGAGTGTAAATTCCTCCCTCCAAGAGAACATAAATTAAAGAACTGGAAAGCAAAGAGAATAAGGACTGGAAAACAAAACAAAACAAAAAACCCAGAACAGAATATCCAAGGACCATGTGTGTGTCTTTCTATGTGTTTTGCTTTGTTTTTTTTTTTTATTTTACCCACACAAATAGTAATATACCATAAACACTGCTCTGCATATTGCTTTTGTCATTTAATATATCTCGAAAATCATTCTGCATGTCTGTATTAATGCATGGAGAGCTCCCTCATTCTCTTGGGAGCCTCTGTTGTGTTCTATTGTACACAGTAATTGCTAGTCTCCTACAGCTGAGCATGAACATTGCTTCCAAACTTTTGTAATAACAAACAGTGCTGAAATGAATGGCCTGTCAGCGGTTCCTGTGGGCTCTGCCTCCAAAATAGATCTGGGATCTGTGCTTCCCGTCCCCTGCGCTGCTGCAGCTCTGGGCCACACCATCACCATCTACTGCCTAATGATGGCAACAGCCTCCAGACCAGGTTCTCTGCTTCCACCCTTCATCTCTTTCAAGCTCTTCTCAGCACAGTGGCCAGAGGTATCCTGTCAAACTGTCAGCCTGATCATGTCACTTCATTGTCAAAAAGTTCCAAAGCCTTCTCATTACATTTTGAATAAAATCCAAAATCCTTGGTGCTGTCTGCAAGGCCATACATCCCCTGGCCCCACCTGTCCCTTTGATTTCACCCACACACACACACAGCTCTCCCCTGAGGGTGCGAGGTGCCATTGTCACTGGCCTCCTCACTGTCCCTCAAACATGCCCAATGTGGAGTCACCTCATGATGCTGCTCCTTCCCAGCCCCCCTCCCCAATCCCTCAGTCCTCTTAGATCCCGTCTTATTACTCTTCCCTTCCCTCACTCCCCTTCAGACACATTGACCACCATTCAATTCTCCAATATACCAAACACACTTCCATCCCAGAGTCTTTGCACTGGCTGTCCCCTATACCTAAAACATCTTTTCCAGGCTAGCCACATGACACATCCCTTCAGTACCTTCAGATGTCACCTCCTCAGCATCCCCTTTATCTGACAATCCTAGTTATAATGCCAACCTACCCCCCACACACACACACCTCTCAAAATCTGTCCCCTTCTGCTTTATTGTTCTCTATAACACACTGTATTTTATTGTTTACCCCCCTCCAGTAAAGCATAAATTCAAAAACTAAAAAGTAAAGAGAATAAAGACTGAAAGCTACAGAAGATCCAAGAACTGAGGGACAAGTACAAAAGGTGTGACATTTGCATAACTGGAATACTGGAAAGAGAAGAAGGAAAGGAACAGAAGAAACACTTGAAATGATAATGACTGAGCATTTCCAAAACTTAATGTCAGACCAAACCACAGATCCAGGAAGCACCACAAAGCATAAATTTCCCCAAAATAACTACACTAGGCATGTCGTTTTCAAACTAGAGAAAAAGATAAGAAAAAAAATCCTGAAAGAATCCACAGGAAAAAAACACCTCACCTATAAGATCCAAGGATAAGAATTACATACGACTTCTCAGAAACCATGCAAGCAGGAAGGGAGTGGAATGAAAGATTTCTAATGTTGAGAGAAAAAAAAAGCCCACCAACCTAGAATTCTATATCCTTCAAAACTACCTTGGGAAAGGCGGCAAAAATTGAAGGAATTTGTTACTGGATGACCTGTCTTGCAAGAAATGTGAAAAGAGTAACACATCCTAGAGAGGAACGCTGCCAATTAACAGATTAAAATGTCTGACACAGTGGTGTGAAGAAGAAAAATGAAATTGGGTAAAGAGAGACAGATGAGGTACAAAATAGCACCCACCTCACAATGCTGATGTCAATATTAAATTGAATGATCTATATAAAGCACCTTGTATAGAGGTGGGCACAGGTAAGTTTACACAAACGGCCATCA